GTACAGTTCCCTTTTGATAGTAATATTTGATTTTCATCAATTTATGATCTAAAGTTGAATTCAAATCAGGAAGTCAAAATTAAAATTGAAAGAAAACTTTTACATATAATTTCCATGTTGCTCGGCTAAATTTCAGAATTCAAGGCTTAACACTTCTTCATAGATTTATTTTCCATCTTGCTTTGTTAAATATCAGAATTCAAGGCTTAACACTTCTGCATAGATTTATTTTCCATCTTGCTTGGTTAAATTTCAGAATTCAGGGCTTAACACTTCTTTATAGATTTATTTTCCATCTTGCTTGGTTAAATATCAGAATTCAGGGCTTAACACTTCTTCATAGATTTATTTTCCATCTTGCTTTGTTAAATATCAGAATTCAAGGCTTAACACTTCTTCATAGATTTATTTTCCATCTTGCTTGGTTAAATTTCAGAATTCAGGGCTTAACACTTCTTTATAGATTTATTTTCCATCTTGCTTGGTTAAATATCAGAATTCAGGGCTTAACACTTCTTCATAGATTTATTTTCCATCTTGCTTGGTTAAATATCAGAATTCAAGGTTTAACACTTCTTCATAGATTTATTTTCCATCTTGCTTTGTTAAATATCAGAATTCAGGGTTTAACACTTCTTCATAGATTTATTTTCCATCTTGCTTGGTTAAATATCAGAATTAAAGGTTTAACACCTTCAAACATAAATTATGTTATAATCCCAAAAGCTTAGTTTTTTTTTATTTCAAAAATATCTTTTATTTTTTAGACGATTTATCCCCTAAACCCTAAAATGTATCCATAAGGATAAACAAACAAATACACAAAGAAAGTTAATAAATCCTTTCATCGAGATTAAATTTTGAATAAACTATTATTTCATTGAAACCTTTACGATTTACTTTTAAATTTTGAATTTTGGTAAAAATGAAAATTTTTTCATAATATCAGAATATCAGATTTCAGATCCTAGATTCAGATTACAGATCCTAGATACAGAATTTAGATCCTTGATACAGATTACCGATCCTAGATACAGATTTCAGATCCTATATACAGATTTCAACCCTTAGATACAAATTTCAGATCCTAGATACAGATTTCAACTCCTAGATACAGATTACAGATCCTAGATACAGATTTCAGATCCTAGATTCAGATTTTAGATCCTAGATACAGATTTCAGATCCTAGATACATATTGCAGATCCTAGATACAGATTAAAACTTCTAGATACAAATTTCAGATCCTAGATACTGATTTCAGATCCTAAATAAGATTTCAACTCCTAGATAAAAATTCAGATCCTAGATACAGATTTCAGATCCTAGATACAGATTTCAGATCCTAAATAAGATTTCAACTCCTAGATAAAAGATTTCAGATCCTAAATAAGATTTCAACTCCTAGATAAAAATTCAGATCCTAGATACAGATTTCAGATTCTAGATACAGATTTCAAATCCTAGATACAGATTTCAGATCATAGATACAGATTTCAGATCCTAGATACAGATTTCAGATCCTAGATACAGATTTCAGATCCTAGATACAGATTTCAGATCCTAGATACAGATTTCAGATCCCAGTTCCTAGATATCCCTGATACAGATGACAGATCTTAAATACTAAATAGAAATTTCGGATACTAGATACAAAATACAAATTTTAGATACAGGTTTTAGAATTCGTCGATATACAGAATATAGAACCCTGATACAAATTTTGAGACTTTTTGGTAGTACATAATAAAATCAAGAATAGTAGATTTCGAAGCATAGAATATAAATGTATTTTCTATCATTGTTAAACATAAAAGAAGTTGTTTGAAAGGATTTTATCTGGATAAAATTTTCATATTCAAAGCTTAGCGGTTTCTCAAATCCAATTTTCCATAGTTTCGAAAATTAAGCTTCTATGCAGTATATGCACTTCCTCACTTTTAGATTTTAAAACTAATCATTATCCAGTTATTTGTTGTATCATGTATCAGGTGTTCTGTATCATGTATTCAGCACTTTGTATCATACATCTAGTACAGTATCATACATCAGTTGTTTTGTATCATTACTTTGTATCATACATATATTACTTTATATCATGTATCAGGTATTCCGTATCATGTAACCTGTACTTTGTGGAAGACGATACCTGGCCGCCAAAAACAAGTTCCACAAGATTCACCGAAATGAGATAGAACGGATGCGAGGCATTGTACTTTCAGTCTAACTCGTGTGATCTTGATATTGACTCATTTCTGAACCCTATAGTAAAAGTTATAAGAAATATTATTATATTATAAAGATGTATTCACACACAAAGATATAAATACATATTTAAATGGTGTAGTTTAAATTTGTTTAAATAAATTTTTGAAAATACAGGCTTCCAACACAAAAGAGAAAAATATACTAAATTATGCACAAATAGACAACATTGATTATTACTCATTACATAACATATTTATCATTTCAGTTATTACGTAATCATCAAATCCTTCAACATATAAATTATTCATTCTTGTATTTAAAAGTTCTTGTAAAACCGGAACTTTCCATGCATGATCCAATGGGACATAAAAATATTGCATTTGTTTATTAACTAACATTTTACTAAGCTCCTAAGGATTTACAGGAAAATCATTTGCAATAGAAAATAAATTTCTGCCAAGAACTGTGTTAAGGTCATTTTTACATAAATTAGAAAGAAATCTAATGCAAAGCTTAGAACTTGCTTCAATAGTCTCATAGAAACACATCTGCTAGCTAACATAGTTTTTATATGTAAACATTGTGAAATACTTTCAAACAAGTACCATATGCGTATCTCTAGGTACATTAAAAAGAATTCGAATAGCAGTATTCCATGCTGTATACAATTTTGAAACACATTGGGAACTCAAGTCCCAAATACTAGATCCATAAAAACTACAACAATAAATATTATACAGTTTCAAAATAACATCAGGACTGTTAAAATAAAATTCTTGGTTAAGGGAATGAATTTTTGAAATGAAAATAGCTCGTTTTTTATCACATTGCATAATGAGTATATCAAGTATCTATACCAGGTACTCTGTATCATGTATCCGGTATATGCATGCACATTGCATAATGAGTATATCAAGTATCTATATCAGGTACTCTGTATCATTTATCCAGTATATGCATGCATATTGCATAATGAGTATATCAAGTATCTATATCAGGTACTCTGTATCATGTATCCAGTATATGCATCATGCATGCACATTGCATAATGAGTATATCAAGTATCTATATCAGGTACTCTGTAACCTGTATCCGGTATATGCATGCACATTGCATAATGAGTATATCAAGTATCTATATCAGGTACTCTATATCATGTATCCAGTATATGCATGCATATTGCATAATGAGTATATCAAGTATCTATAGCAACAAAATTAAAAAATTAAATTAAAGACTGAAGTAAATCCCCACCAAAAATCTACGAAATATGACTAGCATAGGGTATGGTCATGTGGAAAATCTTCAAATCTTATTGTAAAATGTGACTCTTTGTTCTAAAAATATTTATATTCTATATACCTGGCACAAAATCCCATAGTAAATAATTTTAATTTCACGTACCAATAGTTTTGATTATCTAGAACTAGGTTCTCAGGGAAAATTCTTAAAAATTCTATTGTTTAAACATAAAGAGGGGATTAAAGGGAATTATAATTGACCCTCCAGTTAAAAGCTTTCTTAAATGATTCATCATGATACCCTCCAAACTTATCCAAAATTACCATGACGAAAATGTTGTCTTTTTTATCTTGAAAAGGAGTGGCTTCTATCAATTTTATTCATTATTTCTGATGGAGACAAACAGAAATTACTGCAATTTGAAATCATCAATTTTTAGAGGAAAAAACAGGGATAACTCCCATTATTTTTCAAAGGTTTAAAAGGTAAAGTTGTGAAAACTGGAAAGGACAAACTGAGATTCAACTCGTCCTGTTTCGATGTCCTCTCTATATATTATACAGCTTAAACAAACATCAAAGGAATTTTATATCCCAGCTACAGTAAATATGAAACAAAAAGTTGAAAAGATATCCTTGAAATATAATAATTTAATAGTTCCATTCTTCAGATTTTGCTGAAAGTGTGTTATAGACGTTTCTATCCTTTTTTAATTATACCATCAAATATATATATTTTTCTTGTCGGTTTGTCTGTTTGTTTGTGACCGATAAACGTCTAACGGCTGATACGATCTAGTCCAATTTTCTTGTGGGGCCTCACATGACCGGCCCAGGAAAGGTTTATGAAGGCTCAAAATTACAAAAATTTGTATAGAAAAGTTTTTGATTTTGTAAAACTTTGACAATGCACGAAAAAATATTATTAAATTTTTTGTTTTTGTTTTAAATTGTAGAGAAGATGCTCACAGATAGAGACGCACTTGAAAGCTGAAATAGAGGATTGGCGCGAAGCGCCTTAAAAGTCTACATAGTTAATATAATAACAATCTGTGCTTTATTTGAATGTGGCTTTCCGAGACTAACCAAATACCTGCACTTTTAAAATTAGAGCTTTCAATGAAACATAATAAATCATAGAAATCATGTATAGTGTGTCCCAGAACATGGGAATTAAGTTTCGACTTTTATAACATCTGAGAGTTACGCCACATTTTGTCATAAAAGTCTTAACATGAAATCAAATTACAAACAAAAGTTTTCTTCGTATTTAAATTTTCATAGATTTACGGTCTTCCAATTTGCGCATTCCAATTTGCGCTTTCCAATTTGCGATTTCCAAATCGCTGGATATGTTACGAAAGGAAATAAAAACATGTTTTATTATAAAATGCTATTATAAATCTAGACACTAATAACTAAGGGCTACAAAATTCCAGTTTTCCAGATTCAATTAAAAAAAATAAAATTCAAATATTTTATAACTTCGTCAAATATACCTCTAAAGTCTTAATGGGACATCCTGTAGTGTTTGTAATCTATTAGAGAACTCTAAATATATACATGGGAATACAGACCAATATATTCACATGCCCTAGGTTTATCAGGTTTATTAGGTTTATCAGGTTTATCAGGTTTATCAGGTTTATTAGGTTTATCAGGTTTATCAAGTTTATCAGGTTTATTAGGTTTTTCAGGTTGATCAGGTTTATCAGGTTTATCAGGTTTATTAGGTTTATCAGGTTTATCAGGTTTATCAGGTTTATTAGGTTTATTAGGTTTATCAGGTTTATCATGTTTATTAGGTTTATCAGGTTTATCAGGTTTATCAGGTTTATCAGGTTTATCAGGCTTATTAGGTTTATCAGGTTTATCAGGTTTATCAGGTTTATGAGGTTTATCAGGTTTATCAGGTTTATCAGATTTATCAGGTTTATTAGGTTTATCAGATTTATCAGGTTTATCAGGTTTATCAGGTTTATCAGGTTTATCAGGTTTATCAGGTTTATCAGGTTTATCAGGTTTATCAGATTTATCATGTTTATCAGGGTTATTAGGTTCATCAGGTTTATCAGGTGTATCAGGTTTATCAGGTTTATCTGGTGTATCAGGTTTATCAGGTTTATTAGGTTTATCAGGTTTATCAGGTTTATCAGGTTTATCAGGTTTATTAGGTTTATTAGGTTTATCAGGTTTATCAGGTTTATCAGGTTTATCAGATAATTTATCTCCTCCAGATCTTCCAAAAATGGATTTTGAGGATTAAGATATTGAGGACAAATTTTGAGAATAGTTCTTAAAGATGTATTTTGAGGATAGACTTTGAGGATGAAATTTGTTGACGGAATTTGAGGTTGGATTTTGAAGATGGATTTTAAGGAATTTTGGAATGGTATTTAGGGATCTATTTAGGGATCTATTTATTGAACTATCTGTAGAGGATTGTTTGTTCAGAATGGATTTTAAGGATCGAGTTTTAGGATCGGGAAATAGAAATATTTTTCTTAATTTACTTTAAGCAGAAATTGAATGGTTTTGGAATTATTTCATTTTCCGAGTTTTCAAAGCACATTTTTGGGATAGAAGGTTTATAATTAAATTTTAATTAAATTAAATTATATTCTATAATTCTTAATTTTAGTTTTGAACATTTATTTATTATTGAAATGGAAAAATTAAGGTCTCCCTTAGATCAGAAGTAAGACAAAATTTGAAGTTGTAAAAATTTGTCTTTACACAAACCAAAGTTTAGTCAGTTCTTATCATCTGTGTTAACAGTTACAAATAACAAACTCATTGATCGACATTTATAATCAATAAAGACGACTTTTAGTCTGCTTTATTCTTTTTTGCAGAATTTCTGGAAGGTAAAATATACTGTACACACTTCACAACAATTTGCAGATCAAATTACTGCAGAAAGATGAATAGAGAAAGAAGAAAGGAATTTTCTCGAATATTTAAATAAATGTGACACCATTATTTTTGAAGGTAAACAAGAACTGGGTTTTAGTAGAAACTCTTTTTTGAATTATACATATTCACAAGATGTAAAAATCAATCTTCAACCCAGCTAAAATGGCAACCTTAGTTTTAGTAATGTGATACAAGCTGCAAAAATATCTAATTCAATCTGAAAAAAAAATTTCAATAATGTCAAAAATATGATGGGATTGGGAGAACCAGAAAACTATAATGGCTACTTTATAACTCAAGTTTTAAATTTAAATGGTCCAATGAACATGAGGCACAGCAGTAGAGTTGAACTTAATGTGTGATTTAATAAGTTACAAGTAAAAACTGCTTTGTAACAACATCAAATACACTTAAGTACTTGGAGACACACTGTATTTTATAACACAATATTTCATAATCCTCTTAACGAACTTTTCCAAAGTTTAGTCTGTTTGTGGTTTGAATTCCCTTGCGCAGAAACCCAACTCATTACACAGCACTTAGTTTCATTTCAAGGGGTAGACTAGGCGACTAGGAGACTAGTAGGCTAGTAGACTTGGATACTAAGAGACTAAGAGACTAGGAGACTAGGAGACTAGGAGACTAGGAGACTAGGAGACTAGGAGACTAGGAGACTAGGAGACTAGGAGGCTAGGAGACTAGGAGACTGGGAGACTAGGAGACTAGGAGACTGCAGACTAGGAGACTTGGAGACTAAGAGACTAAGAGACTAGGAGACTAAGAGACTAGGAGACTAGGAGACTAGAAGACTAGGAGACTAGGAGACTAGGAGACTAGGAGACTAGGAGACTAGGAGACTAGGAAACTAGGAGACTAGGAGACTAGGAGGCTAGGAGACTAAGTGACTAGGAGACTAAGAGACTAGGAGATTAGGAGACCTGGAGATTAGGAGACTAGGAGCTAGGAGACTAGGAGATTAGGAGACTAGGAGACTAGGAGAATAAGAGACCAGGAGACTAGGAGACTAAGAGATTAGGAGACTAGGAGATTAGGGGACTAAGAGAATAGGAGACTAGGAGACTAGGAGACTTGGAGACTAAGAGACTAAGAGACTATGAGACTAAGAGAATAGGAGACAGGGGACTAGGAGACAAGGAGACTAAGAAACTAAGAGACTAGGAGACTAGGAGACTAGGAGACTAGGAGACTAGGAGACTAGGAGACTAGGAGACTAGGAGACTAGGAGACTAGAAGACTGGGAGACTAGGAGACTGGGAGACTAGGAGACTGAGAGACTAGGAGACTTGGAAATTATTAATTTTCGAAGAAAAGTTGATTTGAATTTAAAAACAAATAAAAGCACAACAAGGTTCTGATTAACTGTTACAAAAGCTTATTAACCGAATTTAATCCCTAATTATAAAAGAACCAACATTATTTTAAATTGTTTAACCCTATTCGCTATTAGCATATGTGAATAACTCAAGAGGGAAGGAGAGGGGGGCGCAGGGCAAGGTCACAATATTAAAAAAAAATCCTGTATTATTATTCACCTGATAAATTTTGAAGGATTCGAGCAGGTTAACCAGGATAATTTTCCAATCAATATTAAATGATCCGATTAATTTAAGATAAATTCACGAATAACCAGCTGAGGACACTGCATATTTATTTTCAAAATTGGAGTTTACTTTCAGACGTTTGGGAGAAAACAGGGATATAAATAGTATCGTTAAGAACTGTTACAGTGATAACCAGAAAACTGTGAAATAGGAAGACGACTTATCGAAATACTTAAGTGTATTTGATGTTCTTACAGAGCACATTGCACAATTTTTGTGTCCAATGCTTGTAAATAGACTATTTAAAGTATAAATTGAGTTTAAAAGGCGTTTTCCTATTTCAGAATTTTACTCGTTATTACATGTTTGAGTTGTTAATAAATATTAGAAGCTAGTACGGTGCTTTGCGTTCCCTCGCAATGATATTTTACAAGCCACCATTTTCTTTGTACATCTAAAAACTTAATTATTTCCAAGATTTTTAGTTTTATCGGTGGATTTGTCATAAACTATCTCTGGGATGATATAGAGTTAAAAGTTTAGCTGTTTTATTCTTAATCATCGAACACAACCAAAACTAGCCAAATATATTTAGTCCTATATAGCTCTGAGCTTAAACTTTAGAATGGTGGATATCGAGATCAATACTTGATCTCCTCTTTTTCTAAATCTTCAGATTAAATATTGCTTGTTTTCCTCTTGTTATAAATCTCCAGATTAATTAACCCATCAGGATTAAAGATATTTAATTCTAAAGTTTTCAGGTCAGGGCTTTTTAATAACCTTTTTCTAGTAACAATTTCAGTGTTTCAATATTGCTTTTTCAGCAACCATATTTTTGTAATGTTAAAATTTTATGGAATTTTCTGTTAACATTGATGGATTTCTAAATTTAAAAAAACATTTTCATGTAAATTGCCAGAAAACAACTGGGCTCAAATGCTAAGAAAAACATTAGTTTGTAAAAAATTCACAAGAAAAGTTTGGTCTGACAAAAAGTACTAAAATTATAAAATTGTGAATTAATTTCATCAATTAATCTTTATATATATGCTTTTTAAGCCACAAAAAGAAAGATTTTTGCAAAGTCATCTTTTTATAAAATCACACCAATCTATGTAATTTTGTCTATGGGTAAAAGATCAATTAAAGAATTGTTTTTCATTGTGCTGGTGGTATAATAAGAAATAGTAAAACAATACTTTTCAACGTAACCTATATTTATTGGAATTATGTAATGAAGAGAAACTAATAAACAACTTGATACATTACTTTGCTCTACACATTCACAAATAGAAAACAAAAACACTAAATTGCACAAAGAAGTTTTTGTAACAATTTGAACAAATTGTTCAATTTTCAGATTTTGGTATTGTAAAAATGCTTTAAATTTACTGAGCAGAGGGTATTGATAAATGAGCTTTTGTACATTTATTTGTATTGGTGTTTAATTAATATTATGTAGCTAAATATGAATTGAATTTTCTAATCTCGATGTCTTACAGTTACAACCTCATGGTGTAAACCTTTGACATTTAAAACTTAGATTATTTGATCTAACAGAATTCATAGTTGGAAATATCAAAGGTTTACACTATAAGGTTGCAAAGACATAAGAATTAAAAAATCAGAGTTTTGCAAGACTCAATTCTATTGTGCAGAAAACAATTTACAAAATTGAAATAAAGGGAAAGTTTTTTAGTTTATACTAAATTGAATTTGTTGATTTAGTCTCGAAATGCAGACTTGAAAGTGTTATGATAAAAACTAAAAGATAATTAGGTTTTACCAATGGAATTAAAATAATCCTCAGAACTCGCATTAAAGGAAATATTCCCGAAATGTGAAAGGGTATTGGATAAATCAGAATTAAATTCGATATCCATTGATTTCCGTAAATCATCATAAATTCATCCGATGTTTCTTTATTATTAGAAAATTGTAAGAAGGTTATGAACTTGAGTGGTTAAAAATCCTCATCTATTCCCTGTAGAAGTTTCGAGTTTTGGAGTTTTAGAGGTTTAAAGGTTTAGAGGTTTAGAGATTTAAAGGTCTAGAGATTTGGATGATTAGAGATGTAGATCATTGTGGGGGTTTATAGGTTTAGAAGATTAGAGATGAAGAGGTTTAGAGTTTTTAGATGTTTAGAGGTTTAAGAAGTTTAGAGGTTTAGAAATTTTATTGTTTAGAGGTTCAGAAGGTTAGATGATTAGAAATGCCCATCTCTGCTTGAGAAAGAAGATGCCCATCTCTGCTTCAGAGAGAAGATGCCCATCTCTGTTTGAGAGAGAAGATGCCCATCTCTGCTTGAGAAAGAAGATGCCCATCTCTGCTTCAGAGAGAAGATGCCCATCTCTGCTTGAGAGAGAAGATGCCCATCTCTGCTTGAGAGAGAAGATGCCCATCTCTACTTGAGAGAGAAGATGCCCATCTCTGTTTGAGAGAGAAGATGCTAATCTCTACTTGAGAGAGAATATGCCATTCTCTGGTTGAGAGAGAAGATGCTCATCTCTTCTTGAGAGAGAAGATGCCCATCTCTACTTGAGAGAAAAGATGCTCATCTCTACTTGAGAGAGAAGATGTCCATCACTACTTGAGAGAGAAGATGCCCATCTCTGCTTGAGAGAGAAGATGCTCATCTCTTCTTGAGAGAGAAGATGCCCATCTCTACTTGAGAGAAAAGATGCCCATCACTACTTGAGAGAGAAGATACCCATCTCTGCTTGACAGAGAAGATGCTAATCTCTAATTGAGAGAGAAGATTCTCATCTCTACTTGAGAGAGAAGATGCCCATCTCTACTTGAGAGAGAAGATGCTCATCTCTGCTTGAGAGAGAAGATGCCCATCTCTGCTTGAGAGAGAAGATGCTCATCTCTGCCTGAGAGTGAAGATGCCCATCTCTACTTGAGAGAGAAGATGCCCATCTCTGGTAGATAGAAAAGATGCCAATCTCTGGTTGAGAGAGAAGATGCCCATCTCTGGTTGAGAGAGAAGATGCCCATCTCTGGTTGAGAGAGAAGATGCCAATCTCTGGTTGAGAGAGAAGATGCTCATCTCTGGTTGAGAGAGAAGATGCCAATCTCTGGTTGAGAGAGAAGGTGCCAATCTCTGGTTGAGAGAGAAGATGCCCATCTCTGGTTGAGAGAGAAGGTGCCAATCTCTGGTTGAGAGAGAAGATGTCCATCACTGCTTGAGAGAGAAGATGCCAATCTCTGCTTGAGAGAGAAGATGCCCATCTCTGCTTGAGAAAGAAGATGCCCATATCTGGTTGAGAGAGAAGATGCCAATCTCTGGTTGAGAGAGAAGATGCCAATCTCTGGTTGAGCAAGAAGATGCCCATCTCTGCTTAAGAGAGAAGATGCCCATCTCTGCTTAAGAGAGAACGGTTTAAAGTTGGAGAAAAAAAAGGTAAGTTTAAAGTTAATAATGTTAAAGAATTCTTCCTTCCTTGCTGTGGAACATGGAAGTAAAGTAAATTCCCAGAAGTAACTACAAATATAAAATCTTCAGTTTTACACTTTTTCGTTATATACTACACAACTCCTGTGGTTTATGATCATTGGAGTATTTAAAACCATAATTTGTGGCAAACAATTGTCGTCCTAATACGCAGTATTTTGCTACTTTTGTAAAACTTTCTTTTTTCTCATCATTTACAGAAAGAATACCCATTGATTAAACTAAATCATTATCTGTTATTATTATTTTAATATCCTTCCTTCCTTATATTTATTTATTATGATATAAAGATATTATATTTACTTTATGGCTCTACGGGATCTAGACACACATTATAAACTTAATAGATTTATTATGTTAAACATTACCTCTAGTTTATTTAGAAATTTAGGCCAGAAAACAGCTCTGAAAACATATAAGAAAGGAAATTTAAGAGTTAAAGCCCTATTGCAAAATTGATAAGGTACTTCATTGTGTATATAACGGCATGTTTTACGTATTTATAGCACTGTACAGTTGTATAAAACATATTTCGAGTTTGTGGCAATGCAAAGCCTTAATTCATTTACAAATTTACAAAGTTTTAATTGAATTAAGAAAGAAAAATGTACCACTTTCTTTTGAGTTTTATTCTTTAAAATTTAAATTAAAATTTAAATCCCAAAAATCTAAATTTAAAATATCAAAGGTTTACACCATCAGGTTGGAAAAAGAAAATAATTCGAAAATTTGAACTGGTACAATATAGATGTGATAGATCAATTAAAATCCAGTTTTATGAATTTTTTAGTTTTCAAAAATACTGAAAACTTTCTTTGTTTGACAAGATCAAAGTTTCACGGAACAAAGGAATTCTTTAAACTTGATTTCTTTCGAGAAAATTTTACATTAACGAGACTGATTTTGAGTGGAATATCTAATTGACAACGGTACTCCTTAAGCCTATCCTATCACGGATGAATGAGTGGTCTTTATTAATTATGGTGTCTGTAGCCTCTCCTATCACGGATGAATGAGTGGTCTTTATTAATTATGGTGTCTTTAGCCTCTCATATCACGGATGAATGAGTGGTCTTTCTTAATTATGGTGTCTGTAGCCTCTCCTATCACGGATGAATGAGTGGTCTTTATTAATTATGGTATCTTTTGAAAATTAAACATTAATACTTTTCCTGATGCTGCATCTTCCTCAATGTTGCTAAAAAAAAAGGTTATAATGGTACTGTTGTGAATCGAATATGTCAGTCTACAAATGGTAAGTTACGTTTATGTACAGTCCCTAGTGGAATTCTAACAGAGGATTTAATAATAAGTGTATCGCACAGGGGGGCGGAAATGTCATGTGTGTGTGTCTGTACCAAAAGAGTGTGTGTCAGTTTAAAGTACCGAAGGTGTGTACTGTAGGTTTATACAGTACGTAAGAATCTCGGTATTTGTACAGTCTAGGAGAGTACATTTGTTTATTGTTAATTGTTTACTTAAACATATGTTTAATATACATGTGTAGAAGCCTGACTTTTAGTTATAAGAAAATATGATTTTGTCCTACATGTTAAAATTAGAATTGAGTTTGCATAAATGCGCAAACAGTTTCACTGATATTTCGCAAACTTGTTCAATCTCGGATTTTACACTAGTCATTCTTAGTATGTTAAGCGAGTAACATATGAATAAATAAACTTGTGAAAATATGTTATCATTCTGAGTTATTGAGACTTCTACACATGTAATATATTATTTACATATTTAAGTCAACACTATAAAGCCACAGTTTTATGGAAAAAATATAATTTGATTAAAGTTTACAATAAACTACTCGTTATTCAATTTTAATTATAATTGACGACATTGTTCTACAATTTCCTTGACTGTAGTCATGTTGTGTGTCTGTACCAGAAGAGTGTTTGTAAGTTTACTGTACCGGTCTGCAAAGCAGTGCGACTGGCTTTCTCTTGCCGGACCAGCGCCATTTCCTTTCCCTATATTCCTGTTCCCTGGTATCGCAGTATGCTCTCCGATTAGTTATGTGAACTATATATATCAACTATTGAGGTTGGGCCGACATTCAAGTCTTAATATTCGATTTTACATTGCCGATCTTCTTATCATTTAGTAGCCCTAAGTATGAAGCTTTTAAAGATTTGCTCTTGTTTAAGGTTTTACATAGATTTTCGCGCCAAAAATTGGCACCGATTTTTCCGGTTAATTTCCGATCTAATTCCCATAGTTTATAGACTACAAGTACATTTACATACAGTGTGTACAGTGTACACTGTGCAATGTACATTTTCAATATATCAAGGTTGTTTAGCAGGGTTGCTTACTTTCGATGCGCTCTAATGTACGAAAAATGTCGTCTCCTATAATCAATGGACAGTAAAATTCGTAAATGACATCACAGGATCCTTACCTGCTCTTCCAGAATCAGTGACGTCATTTCTGATTTGAAAAATAAATCTTATCTTATAATTTTCCATTTGTGATAATATTTTAGGAATTTGATTGAATAAAGCAAAATAGATCATACAAAGAAGTTCGTAGTAAGATTTTGATTCCACTGGAGACCAGCTGAGGGATTTGAAATTTCGCGATTTACAATTCAAAACTTAAAGATGCAGAAAAGCAAAAAAGAAAAAAAATTAATCTTCATTTATTTCTATTTTCTTATTTAGAATTTTGTTGAATTTCGCTATAAATTTAAAAAGAGACTGTCCTCGGAGTTTCAAGTGTCCTTGTTTTTAAAACCGATTCACAACGCTACTCTTTGAATCGTTTTTCTAAATGTAAGGGGTTGAATTCTAACAATTTCCTCCATCGTAATTCTGTTGCAGACATATTCTGCAGGTCATTTTTACAAAAATTAACCACAATTGAAAATGATAAATTGTCAAGCTAAAAACATGGATATCCTATTTACTCAGAAATGATTTGTAGATTTGAAAAAAAATATATTTTATTTAAATTTTGTAAACACCCCCAAAAAATGTTCAGCTAAGTCTATGATTTGTCGGCATACCCGGTCCGGTGGTTTTCATGTTTTTGGCCGAACCTTAGCCATAGAATTAATTTCAGATGTGAAATTTCATTGGAGGATTTAAGACTTCACTTCAGTATTCCCTGATTTAAGACTTAAAACGTTAGCTTAGGATAAGTTTATATTCTTTTTCTTGAGTTTAATTGAGTCTGTAAGTTTTGAATTGTCAAATCGGTTTAAAATAGTTTTTATTCTATCTCTTCTTGTCAGTCAAAACAATTCAGAGATAAGAACAATGAGATTAAACTTAATTAATCAGTTCCGGGACCGCCTACCGCCGGTTCAAAGTTGAACCATTGATTCAAAAGCAAGGATTAATGAAGGATTTAAGTCGATGATTCAAATTTGAACCGGCGGGTAGGCAGTTCAAATTCATTAAATTTGGTCACCATAAAATTTAAAAGTTTCTAGCTAACGTGATCATCATATCAGCTTGATTTTCCGTAATGAGTAAAAAAAAAATTTCGAAATTTAAAAATCCAAAGAATAGAAGGTTTATGATCATTGTTCTCTTAGGAAATCGGATTACTAGAACTATGAATTTTTAAATCTGAAATGAAAATATTTAGAAAGTTAAATAAACATTCAGAGCTGGTAACTTTTTCTTAATCTCGAGATTAAATAATGCTTGTTATCCTCTTGTTATTAATCTCCAGATTTATGAACTGATCGGGATTAAGGATATCCAATTCTAAAGTTTTCAGCTCAGAACTCAGAACTTTTATGATGCGAATCAGAGTCCAAAACTAAAGAACAAAGAGTTACGACTTAAATATTAAGTTTCAGCTTAAATGCCACTTCTGAGTTAAACTTTAAACCTGTACCTCTGGGTTCAATTTTGTGATATTTCATTGAATTAAAATGATCAAATCTGACGATTTAAATTAATAAATCTTTTCGCGTAATCTGGA